ATTTGATTTGCATAATTTTAAGCGTGAGCACAGTGCTGCATAATAAGCAGCAGGCAGCCACTGAGCGGACTGACTTGGTTTGCTTTTTTTCATTTAGGCTTTGAAACTTTTGTATGTAGTTATCTCGATGGACGCTACTCAGCTGCTGAAGCAATAGGAGAGGAATGCTTTACGAATGCAAATATATACTTATGTATGTAAATATATTGAAAATCCCTTCGACGCGGTGCCAGCAACAAGGAGACGAGACGAGAAAGAAAAGGTCAACTGGTTGTCGCTGTTGCTTTATTCTCTAAGCTTTTCTATGCGGATGTGTTTACATAGGTACATACTGTGCAATTTTAGCAATAATAAGCAAGTTGTTATTTCCATTTTGTGATTTGATTATTTTCTGTTTGTTTGGGCTGGCGCTATTCAGAAAATATAAATATTTCACTTCGACAAAATGTGCAGCGTTCTCCAAGTCGCACGTTTTGCGCATGTGGGCGATTTTCCACACAAAACACTCCTCAGCAAGCTTTCTAGGTAGAATTTTTTTGGATGAAGTACTACTTATAAGGAAAAATTAAGAGCACTTCTAAATAAACGCTTTCTGGTGGCTTTTTTTTCAATAATACCTACATTTTTGAAGCTGTTGTGTTGAAAATCTTAGAATACTAACTCTGTCATTCGAAGGCAACGAAACTCAAATAAATGTTTGATGCATTCAAAATTATTTCGTATAAGTTTGCCTCATCAAACGATTTCACAAATAGCGGCACCCACATACAAGGCTATTTTTCTAATTTTGGCGTTAGCTCAAATTCGGCAGCTAACTTGAAATTTTTTTACTGAAAACTTATAGTTAATTGCCGAATGAGAGTTAACTCATCACTGTAAAAACGACCCTAAGCCTTTAAATTGCAAATAAAAATCATAATTGACAACCTTTGAGTTTACTGTTGTGGAATTATTATTGGAAGGCAGCTGGTTAACGACATATATAGCCTAAATATAAACATGCAATTTTCGATACAATCTCCATTTATTTAATTATCTGCTATAGCTTACCTCAATTATATTCTTATTCGTAAGTGATTCGTGTGGCTCATTATATTCGGTGTATTTGAGCAGGACCTTGTCCATGTCGGTGCTGGCATATTGATATAATTTATTACTTGACGAGAAGATTATGAGCGCGATTTCACAATCACACAGAACCGACAGCTCGTAGGCTTTCTTCATCACACCAAATTTGCGTTTGTTGAAGGTAACCTGCAGATGAAATAGGCAAAAGGATTAGTCACATAAAAAGGGACTTAATTGTGTTAATTAATTGCAAAACAAAAAAAAACGTGATACAGTGAATATTTAAATGCTTGTCATATTTTCACTTTTTCCTCCCCCTTTCGTAGCTCAATGTGGATGTGTGAGTGTAAATGCTAGACGGAAATCCTTGAACTACGTCCATTATTGCTTTAACTACAACACCTTCGACGACAATATACGCCTTATCCACTTGTATAGTAACCACACACACACACACACCACATACATACATACATGCACGCGTGCGTTCACACATACATACATATGTAGCTCGAGTACAAGGCAGTGTGCGTAGTTAAGTAGCCCAGCCTTGATTTGCAATGAATCGATTTTTATGAAGCGCACTCTAAGTGCTTTACGGGGAAAGAAGACATAGGCGTAGAACACAAAGCGCAGACTGACAATGCATACAAGCAAGAATGCACAATTATAGGGACAAAAGGGTATACACACACACACACACACACACACACACACACACACACTGACTGTGACCAACTACAGCGTTGCATCAGGGAAAACTGGTGAGCGCAAGCTGCTAGAAGCATACAGGGCGTATGAGTGATTTTGCCACTGTATAGCAAAGCCTCTATGTAGTAGTTATGAACAGCTTCTCCAGCCGAACTGCTATTCAGTATCAGCTGTAATACATATACAAATAGAGAGGATATTCAATTACAATGCGGACAAAAGGCAATATAGAGGGGGTACTTCCTAAGTTGGTTCTTGGCATTTATGGCATTTTATATGTACAGAGGGGTACTCATTGCCTATAAAGGCGAATGTAAAGTCCAAGATAGTCAACATTAGTTTAGGCTAAATAGTGGAGACCAACCAAATAAATAGTTATTAACACAAACACTTCAATAGCTGAGCACTCAAATTTTCCTTTCGACATCAAACCATAGTTGTTGACCGCACACACACACACACACACACACACAGCTCATTTGCGATTTAATTGGCATTTATTATTTTCTAATTAGACGGTGATTAAATTTGCAATAGCCTTATTAGTAGTTTTCGAGCAGTGTAGCTTGCGGGGACAAGCGCACTGTGATAAAGAAGGTCGCAATAACCCTGCAAAAATCGCGACTACTCCATGCATGCGTGTAAAGAGTACTCCCTAAGGACCAAAGAGTACTCCAAAATTAACCAATTCAACAATTCATAAAAAAAATATGGTCCAATTAACATTGCGATGTCCTAGGGCAGGACCATATACTCCATCCCTGCATTACATCAGAGTAGCACAAAACTACCCCAACATATTAACAATGGCATTGTTGTTATATTTTTTCGTTTGTACACGCTTTTGTTCTTCACTTCTCAAATGGTTAATTAATAAAATAAATTAATAAAAACCAAGACAAAAATTAAAAATTACATGTTGCCTCCTACGGTATTCGAACCCGAACATGCTGGGAGCTAAGAACTAACAGCGAGCATCTCTACACGTTCAGCTACAGCCAGACATGCAAATGTGTTTTCAAATGCTCAACTTCAATCACGTTTCGTTAAAACACGAGCAGTGATCGGATAACAAACAATAAGCTGGCGCAAAGACACGAGTTGGTCCGCTACAGCATGACAGAGGAACACTTTTGTAAGTACTCCAATTTACCACAAATAGACTACATGGTCCAACGATTTTTGCAGGGAAGTTATGAGCTGCTGAAGTTCAGAGCAATTATGCGAATGGCAGTTGTTTGGCAGATGAAATTTTAAACCGCCGATGCAACTATTACCTAATTATCAGAAAATTAATTTTAATTATTTCGATGTGAAAGTTTAAATGAATTTGTTATACATTACATAACCATATTTTGGTTGATCGAGTGGTTAGAGGTGCGCACTATCGCACGATGGGTCCCGGGTTCGATCCCTGGTCCGAGGAACGTGAAAAGAGATTTTTATTTTTTTCATTAGTAGTTACCGCTCGGCAAGCAAAGGCAAACCTCTCGAGTGTATTTTTGCTATGGAAAAAAACTTCTGAAAAAATGAGTTGTAAAAACCTGTGAGTTGTGATTAACACTTTGAAATTGAATTGGCTGCCTTCATGTCATTCAGATGTCACAAAGATCGACTGATGTTGACACATCTTTTTTTAACTTTGTTTGGGTTGGTTTTATTTATTGTAAAGATCTTGGTAACGTTATCGTTACAACAATTTCATTGTTATCGGTATCCATCGGTCGTAATTGTTACCGTTTTCTTGCTATCGATATCGATATTCACCCCAATTGATTTCAACTAATGATAAGATGACATTGGGTGCATTTAATAATGGAGACCAGTGGCGTTATCGCTTCCTTTATCCTCATCATCATAAGAAAAGTACTTTTTATATTACAAAATTTGTAATATTTAATATAAATTAAATTATCGATTTTCTATGCATTCGATTGCCCCACTTTTACTCACCTGTCGATTACGTTCATCTGTGATGCGTGATATCTGTATTTTCTTTCGACCCATTTTGTACCACCCGAGTCTCCTCTACGCCGTGTTAATTGATCTCCTCAGCTCCGTCTAAAAAATATCCAATGCCCAAGTAAGCGGCAGTCCTTCAATGTTTTCTTATAAAAATATTTGCTACTTTTCTCCTTTGGTTTTTGTTTTTGTTTTGGTCTGCTGTTTGAAGCGGCGGCCGGGTGTTTATTTTTCACGTACCTGGTTTTTGCTATATTTTTTTTTTGTTTGCTTTATAGTTGTTTATAAAAATTTATTAAAAGCTTCATGACTTCCAAGAGGAAAACTAAGCAGTGCCGCGCACAAAGGTAGATTCAGCCTTTAGCTGGATGGACGGTTATGCAATTTTTGTTGCTGTATGTTTTATTGTTTATGTGATTGAGTGTATGGATTCAACAATTGTACGATTGATTTTCGAACAGGTAGCTCAGTTATGTAAAATGTCCTGCAATAAAAAATAGAAGTGTTTAAAAATGGGTAAGTTTCACTTTTGCGATTATATCTGAATATAGTATGTATAAAATCTTATTAAAATTACTTAAAATTTACTAAATGTTCTGCAATTATCATTACTATTATTTTTTCCCCTTCATTGTGTGGCCGACCTAATTTTTTCCTTCATAGAGCGAGATTTATTTATAGCCAGCAGAACCAAATCATGTAAATTAGGACGCGCTAAATCGATGGGGAACTCATTGAAAGCATTTCCGAAGATGCTTATGTGTACTTTAGGGTGCATCACTCTCAACTAAAAAAAATCGGTATGTTTTTTCCATAGGAATTATACAATTAATTTAGTTTTAAGACTTTCTCCAAAATATTACAGAAAAAAATATTAAGATTTACGTGAGTTCGTTCGGTTTGAAAAAAAACATGCTTCTAAAAATATCGCTATTTTAATTCCGTTGATACAATTTTGGAAACATTTTTAAGGAGAGACCGTTTAAGCTAAAAAAATAAAATAACTTCATTTTTGAAGGTACACATTTTCAAATAGAACCAGCTTAGATAAATCGTAAAATTGGCAGGTGTCTTAAACTATAATAATTTTGTAATTCCTGTGTTGAAAACCCGCACCTTTTTTTGGTGATGCACCCTAAGGTACATACCTTATATGGGCGAGTGAAAATTGGAGCAGTGAAAACTTAAAATGATTCAATTATTGTATACATGTTTTAAATAGATTTATCAGAAGATGCAATGTAAACAAAGATGGATGGTTGGAGATGTTTTACGTTTTTCTTTAGCAACTACATTTCCGAGTAAATTTTTGGATAAAAAAAGAGCAAAATACCTAATCAATGAATAATATCTTCACGTGAATGATCCATGACACTAAACGACTTAATTACAGTTGAAAAAGAAACACTCGCTTTTAACAATGGATTCAGCGCCAAACGCAACTGAACTGTCAGTCGATATCGCACCGACTCTCGTATTTTTTTTTTTTTATTTTTTTTTTTGTGGAAATGCATCGTTCGTAGAAAGGAGCTGAGCTAATTATGTTGGGTGTTGTATTTATGACTTTTATTTTTCCCTCTCCAAGCAGGATGAACAACCACAATTCCCATCATCTACACAGAGAAAAAAGGGCCTAACAAAACGAATCAGATATCTTCATGGTTTTTCTTCGAACAGATATTTTTCTTGCGCGGCATCTGTGGCTGAGAGGTTAGAGGTGCGCACTACTACTCCGTAGGACTTGGGTTCGATCCCTGGACCGTCTTCTGTGTATCAAGAAGAAGAAAAGCCTTATAAATCAAATCAATAAACAATTCTTTTGATTCCCATTAGGTTGCCTAATTAAAGGCTAAAAGTAGTCACATAAAATCAATAAGGAAAGTTCTTCGTTTTTACTTACGTCTGTTTAACCCCTTCGCCTAGAAACTTTTCATAGACACAATCTTTGAAAAAAACAACAAAAAAATTTAACTTTAAAAACCTTGCAAATATTTTAAAAAAATCACCATGTACTCATTTCTGCTCCGCACTGTATGTATGAAGAAATAGAATATTCGATTCTCTTACATACCCATTTATATATTTATGTGGACACTAAACGTCTATCGTCTAGATCTAATTGGTGCCAACTATTTGGATTCTATAAGCCAGCAAAGGCAGATGATAATATTTAAATTATTAATTAGCATATTCTAATACAAATAGTCGCTGGCCGTATATGTAAACAACAAAAACAAAAACAACACAAACTGCGAAGTGGCCAACATAGGACGCGTAGCTCAGCTGTTATGCTGTACCATCGATAAAATAACAAACAAGTGAAAGCAAACAAAAGTAAATATGTATGTATGTATGTTCTTTGTACATACATAATTATATAGAATGTAAGAGCATAGCGGCAGTCTGCGTGCTGCCACTCAGGTAGCAAAGTTTTGCCGTTAAACGATCAAGCAGCAACAGCCAGCACCTTCGTTTCCAATAACTACTGTTATAATCGCGTATTGTGCAAACATATCGCTATAATTGAACGCAGCCACCCGTCCATATATGTAGTTGGCGTGAGCCAGCAAAACGAAACGGAGAAGCGACTGACTAGAGGATGGCGGCGGCGAATGGGTTAAAATGATAAGTGTAAGTGTGTCCGTGTCGGGGCAAAAGACGTCAGACGAATCAAATCTATGTGCTGTTGAATTGCTGTGAGTTAAAAAATTAAAAAAAAGAGAACAGGAAAATCAGAAGAAAAACGAACAGCTTTTTGCGTAGGCTGATAGGTAGGTTCCTCCGCCACGACGGCCATTGTTTGTGGGTCTGGAGGGTAGAAAAGAACAAAGAACGAAAGTAAATGTGCGAAGAAACAAAAAAATAAATGAGACGCTCCCGTGCAGAATATGGAATAGATGGATGTAGCTGCGCTCTAAACAAGAGAAACAAATAAGTAATGCGCACTGCCTTAGGCAGCACTCGGCTGCTGCGTTGTTGCTACTGTTGCGCCAAAATGTTGCTCATACGCCACGTTAGCCCCGCGGGATATGGTTAAACGTGACGTCGACATAATGGCGTATACTTCTTAAGTGCGAAATGCGCTCGCGAGGAAATCGCTGAGCTCTAACCGAGGCGGATAGTAGGCGCTGAAGCAGGCAACGGGGCGAAGCAGAGACAGAGACAGAGAGAGAGGAAGAGATAAGTGAGCTGAATAGGTAGTTTAAGGGTATTTGTGCAAACCACGGTGGTATCATTTCCGCACAACCCAGCCGACAAGCTGCTGCAAGTTGTGGAGAATAAACATTCTTATGTGCATACATATGTAAATACATATTGAAGCTCTTTTTACAGAGGAGTGCGTGTACAATTGTGTTTGCTTGCTTGCTTTCTGCCACCATTTGTAAAGGAAAATATGTAAATATATGTATTTATACAGTGGCAGGCAAACAAAGGCGACACTTTAACAAGTTTTGGCTATTTTTCTTTGGCTCATTTAATACTTATTCTTTTTAATGAAACTTTAGCTCACTATCTAACCAAACCTAGTTCAGACTTCAAACGTTGTACAACAATGAGGAAAATTCGAAAAAGTGCCATCACAAATTCAACCTTTTCAATCAGAATCTATAGAAAAAATGACTTACTGCTGATTTTTGGCAATTCTTTTGCTGACGATGTCTCGCATTTTCTTCCATACAAAGTATGTTTTGATGAATATTTATTTGAAATTCAAAATCTTGTAGAAAGTGTGCAATTTTGTTTTATATATTTTTTGCTAGATGATATTAATCAGCAATTGTCATATTTCAAACAAAAAAGAATCAATAAATTTTACTTAGATTTTAAAGAGATCATCGCTCCTAACTAAGACAACTAAGAAAAAGTTGATTGATTCCTGTTTTAGGTGTTAAATATTACACCAGTTCTATGTTGATTCTAATGAGTAATGTCCAGTTTTCCTTGGAATAAACAAAGTATTTGCAAAATATGACTCAAAAAGAAGAAATGAAAAATACTCATTATTTTATAAATTTTAACCAAAAAATTTAAAATAATTTGTAATCGACGTAAAACAACTTTAACTATAGCCGCGTATTTGTGTCCGTACGTCCTAGTGTAACTTTTAATTATATTTATTTTTCGAGTTTAATCAATAAAGATTAAAAATAATAACTAATATCTGAGTTTTATTTTTTCGCTTAAAGATAATGATCCTTCAAAAAACTCAAAAGCTATACCAGCGTGATTTCCGAAGTATATTTTTCAGAGGCACATAGCTAATAAGTCCAAAAAATTTTCGGTTTATTGCGTCTGTATGGCCTTTTGAATTTCACAAATAATCATTATTTTTAAGTCGAAAAATAAAACTCAATAATATTTATTATCTCTGATAGAAAAAATAAAAATCAATTAATAATTAGTTCCTTTGAGCGTAAATATAAAACTCAGTAGTAATTATTATTTCTCCGCGAAAAAATAAAAACCACAAAATAATTATTAAATTATTCATAGTGACTACCGTTCCTGCAAAAAGAGCATTGATATGAGGAAAATACAAAAAGTTGAGATGTATCGGAGATTTCTTTAAAAAATGTCCCACTTTTTTAACTTTTGCTAAATTCATTGGATAAAATTAGTTGCAGCTTTTTAACATATCTAATTTACAATGGAATATCAGTCAACCTTGTATCGCTACTAGGGTATTAGAAAACTTTTAAAAATAGCTTTATAAATTACACTATAGGGACGCTAACTTAATTTTGAGGCGTAGATTACGGATCTGTATACCGTTTTTCTAGATCAGGGAATGTTATAGAAAAAAGCTCTTTTAATTTCTAAGAATTGTATTTTTCAGAAAAAAATATGGCTTCGCTTATAGGTAGAGCTGTTATTTACATTGAAAATCGGCGATCTCCGAATTTAATATCGCTAGCGATATTTTCGAATATTTTCTCTATGAATTGCTTACAAATTGTTGTTGCACGGATACCGATATTTTGATTGCTATTTTTTATCGGTTCGCTATCGATATCATTTTCGGCCTGAGCCTTTAATCAAACATATTTCTACAAACACTAAAACAGGAATGGAAATATGAATGACTTCGGAAAAGGATAACTTAAAAACAAAAAAAAAAAAAAAGCGACGAGTAATGAATGCCTTAGTGTACGTATACATACGTAAATATATATACAAATAAGTACCCATGTATGTATATATCTGTATGTTAATGTCTTTAGCTTTCTGTTTGCTTAAGGTATACATACGTATGCCCTCAGTGTCTTAAGCCACAAACAACCAGCGATTAATATTGTTTATTGTATCCGCCGGTGGCGACGACACTTTAGCGCATAAACATTGACATTGGAACGACCACCGCCACTGTCATTGCCATTGCCACTGCCGTAGCTAATATGTATGTACCTGTCTTCCCTTCCGCTGTGGCTGATGGCAGTCAAGTTCTTAGCCCTCGAACTATGAGCGACTATGAAGAGAGCTTAC